GGATTGATCTCATCATCAAACCAACTTTAATGCGTGAATTAAGAGAGGCCTCACCACTTTGCGTGCCCAATTCCGTTAGTGGTGCTGATGTGGCATAGGCAAGGACGGAAATGTCGTTCGAACCCGAATGAGAAAGCCATTTGGAAGGCAAATAGGTGTTAATTTTAATGATATCTTGAGTCCAACTCACTTCATTGTGAGAAATCCAACCTCATTTGCCTCAAGTTCTACACTTTCGCAAGACCTGGGGTTTCAGTGAGTGCCAAAATTGCAATTTACAAAATGGACTCTTAAATTCAAACTCTATAATATGTAGGTTGTGAAACGAAGATTTCTTCATAAAAAACCATCCTAACATCCGAATCCTTGGGATTTGACACAAAAAAGGGTCTGTAGCTGTGGCATAGTTGCGTCTGGACCAGCACGCTCAGGGTTCGAGTTGCGTTGTGGTCAGGGGCATGAATCAGAATGTATATTTTGCGAACCAGATTGACTGAAGCCAATTTGCAACAGTAAATCTTATATGTGAAGAAAAGTTGGGTTTTGAGGAATCTCTTGTTTCATAATTGTTGAACTTACTTCCATTTGAGTGAAAGTGATTGGTGAAAAGATTAGAAGGTCGGTTCCACCAGAAGAAGACGGCGGATTTCTCTTGACTTCTTGGTCGACATATGACAGTAACTAACCAAATCACTTTATACCTCCTCAAAGAGGCAATTTATAGAGTATATATATATATATATATATATATAGATTTTTAGGGATTTTGGTGAGTTTTCTTGCGTCGTTAGCTTGAGTTTGGTTGTGACGATGATAACTTGCTCTGATAATGTCCGTCATATGACGCACGAAGGCTTAGCACCTTTTCACCGGAATCGAAGCAGATTGCCTCGGAAACAGCGTCAGCATGAATGTTGTAGTAAAACCAATCGACAGCTGGTCAAGAGGAATCCGCCGTCGTCTTCTGGTGGAATGGGCCTTTGAATCTGTTCACCACACACTTTCACTCGAAATGGAAGTAAGCTCAACAAGTAAATCTTTTACTCCAAATCACCTACAAAGAAAGTGGACAATTCTCGAATTGGCTGCTATTTTTATCATCATTCGGACGTGAAAATACTGTTTTTTGAGTCTCAACTTGTATCTTGCATTCCAGATGGCATGGCTCAAAATGAACCCATCCTCCAGATTGGCCAAACGAGTGTGTACTTTAGTCAGATTCTTAAATGATTAAGGTTATCTTCTAAGCATCCCAAGCATCCCATAAGACCTTAGAAAAGAGGAATGCAATTTTGTCGGCAAAGCCCTTGACAGAATGATCGAACTCATCAGCCTCACAAGGTCGTAGAACTCTGGTCGGCATCCTTTTAGCTGTCCGAAATGACCTTCAACTGAATCGTTTGTCTGTCAGCAAATGTGGCCACATCACGTTTCCAAATAGTGGCGTTGCAAGTCCACCTGACGAGAGTCGAATACAAACCGAACTATTTCATGGGCGAGTATGTCAGAAAGCGGAATGCAGGATTTGGTCTAGAAACAGCCTTAGCAGTGCTTCGAAGGATTGGTAGATCTTTTGCAAGAAATCCAGGGTGAACTGGGAAAAATTAAATTTGCCTTCGCCCCCAAAAGGGCCCTTTCATACACGTCAAATCGTGCCATTTCGGCCCTGCCAGAAAGCCTGATTGCTACAAGACGGAACCACTTAGTCATTTGGTCCGAGGGTCAGGCGACCACAGGGTAGGGGTTATTTCAGAGGGTGGCCTGCTTCAAATGTGCTAATAGCAATAAGGCAAGCTGGTATTTGCGAAGAAAAGTTTTCTTGACTCGTTAGCTTCAATTTGGTTGTAAGGATGATAGCCTGCTCTGAAGATATTCGTCATACGACGGACGAAAGTCTGGCACGTTTTCATCGCAATCGAAGGAGAATACCTCAGAAACAGCGTCAACAAGAATCGACAGCCAGTCAAAATGAATTCGCCGTTGTCCTATGATGGGATCGACCTTCCAATCTCTTCACCAAACATTTTCACTCAACTCGAGAATACTACTTATTTCTGAATCAGTAGTGCTTGAATTGGATGAGTGGATTCCCGCTCAACTTGCAAATGGGTTGTTTGTTGAGAGAGGTGCAAAGCGATACATTTGTAAATATAGCTCGACAAGTGCTCACGAGATTTGCACTATATTCATCTTCAGATCTGAACAATGGCTGCAAAGTGGTTACTTAAATGCAATATAAATAGTGTCTTTTCTATCTGTAATTTATTCTGGCGGCAACTAGAGCAAGCGATTAATATAGGCGATTAATATAGGCGATTACATATGTCAGGGATAGAGTAAACCTTCATGGAACGGTAAGACTGACACCAAAAGGGTTAGCTAGATAGATGGAGAGTTTAGATAATTTCTTGTTAATAATTAACCAGATTGATTGCAATGTCAAATTGTCATTGGAAATAGAGAAAGACAGTAATTTACCTTTTTTGGATGCCTTCCTTTATCAGAACAGGTAAAAAGTTAAGCAAGGATGTATATTGAAAGCCAAAATATACTGGTTTGATCAGAATTTCTTCTCCAACCATAGTTACAGAACAAAGGTTGGCATTTTAAAATATGTGATTATACGAAGCATAGAACTAGCCGATAAAAAGGATTTAATTCAGCACCAAAAACAAAGCTCAACTGAAAATTTCCCCTCGAAACAATGCGACATGACCGGGGCTGTTTGTGTGAGATAGTCTGACCATGCTCTTCTGGCTCAGTTTATGGTGGGCCGTCTGGCTACAAGTGAAATATGAGGAGGAGATGTGATTCGAGAATCCCTTAAAACATTCACACTGGCGTATCTTTCATTTCGTTTGAGAAGACGGGTCGAAGAGATTTGTAGATTGGCCGCACCGGATACCGCAAGAGGGTTGTTGCCTTGTACTTTTGTCTGTTGAATTGTGCGAAGAAGACGTCGGATCACGGTCTTACGACCCCGATGACTCATTGGTGAGACTTCGTTCGTCGTGTGTCGGATATCTTCAGAGCCAGAAAGCATAATTTGTGCTAAATCAAGAGAAAAAGTAATCACTTTTTTACAGCTAATCTAGAGATTTTAATGAGGCATACCATTACTTGGCTGACTACCTCATTCTTACTCTACATACTTGCAGATGAGTGAAGTTACTTCACAAACCGCAAATCCGTTTGATGGCATCTGTTTCATCACACACAAAGACTAGCGTAAGATCGCCTTTTGCTCAATCATGTTTGGGCTTGTGTTATTGTCATTTGTGTGTATGTAATGCTCATGTCATGAGAATAATGATAATCTTGGCTACACTCTAGAATAATCCAACCTCATTATCTTATTTACAGGCTCTTCCTCTTCCCCATCGCTTTCCATCTTCCACCAGCCACAAATATTTCCTACTCACTTTTCTACATTCGTTCCTTCCATTCAAGACGTTGGTTGTTTTGTCAATTTCGATTGACTCCACATTCTTACGCTTTGATGTCGAATACCCTAAACCGCAAAACGTGTATTGGACCAGTTTATTGAGTGTCCTGTATTAGTCATGTTTTAGCGAGCTCAGAGTTAGGACACATACACCTTGTTGGGAATAACTATCCG